TGCCAGGGATGGAGGACCCCGGGGAGGGCTGTGTCGCGGTTGGGAGACCCCACGACGGGCACGCCAGTCCCTGTTGGGGATGGGGGACCCCAAGGGAGGGCTGTGTCGCAGCTGCGGGAAAGGGGGACCCCGGGGCGGGCTGTGTCGCGCTGGGGGACCCCAGGACGGGCAGAGCCGGTCCCTGCTGGGGACGGGGGACCCCGGGCCGGGCAGCGCCGGGGCACGGCACATCCCCGTCCGGGCTGGGGAACACCGCGGCAGGCAGTGCGGGTCCTTGCGGGGTGCGGGGAACACACGGGCGGGGAGCGCCGGGTCCCGTCCCGTCCCGCCGGCTCAGCTCCCGTTCCCGGCGTCTCCCGCAGGTGCGGAGCGGGCGGCGGAACCCGGGCAACCCGCAAATCCCCCCCGCGTCTCTCACCTGCCTCCGAGACAATGCCGAGCCAGAGCCAGAGGGGCAGCGTGAAAACTCTCTTCATCTCCGGGGCTGCGGGCAGGTTCAGCGCGGGGCGATGCGGAGCGGTGCGGTGCGGAGCTCCCGCCGCGCCCCAGCTGCGGCAACGCGCGGCGGCGGCGGGCGGGGAGCACCGGGGGCCGCTTCCTTTTCCTCCGCCCGCCCGGGCCGCCCGCCGCCCTCGTCCCGCACCTGTGTGTGGGGGGGCATCACCCCTGTGTCCCCCCCCCCCACCATCCCGGGACACACGAGCACCCCCGCACCTGTGGGTGTATTTGTGCGAGCACACGCCTTGCACACCTGTGTGCCTCCACCCCGCATCCGTGCGCAGGGATGTCACCTGTGTGCAGGTGCACACACACACACACACCTCCCTGCTTGTGCATCCCGGCCTCTCGCACCAGAGGGGATGGACACGGTGCGGACACAAGCACCTCTCACACCCCTCTGCACACACCTCACGCAGACACACACATCTCACCTCTCCCTGCGCACACCCCCTCGCACCCGCACACACCCCCCACCTCACACCTGTGTGCGCCCAGTCCTGTGCCACCTCCCCTGAGCCCCCACTCCTCCTGCACCCCCACCACAATGCACACACGCTCTCTCACATCCGCCCAGTCCTGCGCCACCCCCCCTGAGCCCCCCACTCCTCCTGCACCCCCCCAGGGGCACACCACGATGCACACACGCTCTCTCACACCTGTCTGCACACGCTTGCACCCCTCCTCTTTTTGGGGGTGCGCTGGGGGCTCGTTGCTGTCCATCCATGCACACTGCCAGTGGCGTGGGGCGGCTGTGTTGCCCCCCCAGCACCCCCACATGTGGCACACGCACCCCTCTCTGGCAGGCTGTTCCCCAAAACCCGGGCACACGGATGTGACAGTGTCACTCCACGCGTGGCAGTGGCTCTTGGAGGGAACACGCTGCGGAGGGAGGTGATGGCAGAGCTCTGGGAGCGTGGTGGGCACAGCCCGTGCACCCAACGAGGGCTGAAGAGATAAATCGTCGTGGCCCCCACGCTGTTAACCCACGGAGGGTTATTAATTACACACGCTTCCAGACAGCGAGGAAGGAGCCCGAATGAGAACCATGTGCTCAGGGCTTCGAAATGGCATGAAAACCTTTTTGTGCGCTCAGCTGCTCTTTGTTGCCAAACCCGTCGAAGAAGTCACCCTGTCCCTCTCCCAGAGCTGTCAGAGGGGCTCCAAGCCACAGAATTTATTTTACCCGACTCCCCCCAGCCCAATTAGTGAGTTTTTAACCCCGAGAGCGCTGGCTGCGTTGCTCTTCAGCACACTCCTCTTGGACCACATCCCTCCTTGATCCAAAGGAACGGAAAGTGATGGTGTCCCTCCATCCCGGGAGCGTGCCCAAACCCCTGCAGCTTTCTGGAGAGATATTTTTAAAACTTGCCATCTCGATGGGGTGATGAGGCAGAGCTGGGGACCGCAGCACTGCCCACTGCTGCAGGGAGAAGAGCTGAGACAGCAGCATCAGAGCCCTCCCCGGTGCCAGGGGTCACGATTAGAGATGGGGCAGCCGTGGGGCTCCCTGCAATGACAGCGTACCCAGGCTGGGGACCACTGTGAGCACTGGGGGGTCATCAGCTGTGCACCTGAGATGAGCAGCGGGTTGGTGAGGTGTGGACAGCGATGGGGGGGTAAATCACATCACACCACTGAGATGCTGGACTCAATGCACAGCCCCAGGGCTGCCTGGAGAGGCTGAGTGCGAGAAGAACAAAGGGTCTGACCTGGGGATTCCTCCAAAATCAAGGGATTTTGGCACCCTCTGAGGGATTTGGCAGTCCAAAGGCGGCGGTGGCCAGGACCAGCCCGTCCATGCTGCCATCTAACGACGGGACGCCGGGGAGGGCTCGCCCCGCAACCACGGGGAATTTTCCATCACAAACACAGGGTGACTGTGGGACCGGTGGGACCTTTCCATTGTTGCCGCCCTGGGAAACAAAAGGTTCTTATTTTAAAGTCTTGTTCCCCTTCCAACACGTGGGGGGACCCGAGGAAGCAAAGGCTTCCCCAGGGAGGGCTCGCCCCGCGACGACGGGGAATTTTCCATCACAAACACAGGGTGACTGTGGGACCGGTGGGACCTTTCCATTGTTGCCGCCCTGGGAAACAAAAGGTTCTTATTTTAAAATCTTGTCCCCCTTCCAGCACGTGGGGGGACCCGAGGAAGCAAAGGCTTCCCCAAAGCATGGGAGAAGGACACAGACACGTCATGGCGGGGACGAGGAGCTGCCAGACATGCCCAGCCCCAGGAATGGCTATGGGAAAGGCACCCTGGGGTGGCTCTGGGGACACCCAGGGACCAAACGAAAAAGTGATCTGCAAGGAAAATCCAGCCTGGATCTAGGGGCGGATGGCAGCCCTGGCAGGGTCAGTGTCCGGATGCTGGAGCAGAGAGGGGCGCTTTGCCCCTGCAGTGCCCACTCTCCATCCCAGTACCCTCCTGCCCGAACCCAGGCCCAGTTGGTCACTGCATTCACACCGTGCCTGTGATTTCTACTCTGCTTTTCATCAGTGAAAGGCATTTTTCAGGCAGTATTTCCTTGCCGGGCTAACGCTGCACGTACGGCAGCTCGGAGCAGCCTTTTCCCCGCACGTCGGAGCAGCCATATGTGCTCCGTGGAGACCAGGAGCTCTGCCTGCCCCAACCTTCCTCCCAGAGCCCTTCCCCGACAGCAGGACAGTACCACCCCAGCAGACCAGGGCATAATACCCCAAAACGTGGCTCTGCTTGGGAGCGGCACGCCGCAGCCACACAGACAGGAGGAGGAGGAAGGACGTGCTTCCTCGGGAGCCTGCTCAGCTCGGGGATTTGGGACAAGCAGATCTTTGCCGCTCTCCAGCTCTGCCTTTGGCAAGGGGAGGGCGTAGGAGGTGACAGCGATGGCACTGGCATGCGTGGCAGCGAGATGCTCACAGCCCGTGCCGCCGCACCGGCCCACGCGGCAGGGGTGGGCAAGGGGAGATGGCAGCCACCCTCCTGCCTGCCAGCGGCTGCCGAGGCCCAGCTGTGCTTGTCGCCTGGAGCATCCGCTCCCCGCCACGCTTTGGGGATATTTTCCTGCTGCTTCCAGCCTCACACACCTGCGGTCTCGGGGCAGGTCGGGGAGATGATGGGTTTCAGCCCCCCCAACCCCAAGTCACAGCTCTCCGCTGCTCTCAAAGCAGCCTCCCCTCCCCGCGGAGGCTCCCAGCCCTGGGAGGAGGGATGCCAGCCCCGCTCACAGCAGCATTTCCGAGCCAACAGCTCTTTCTTCTCTGCTTTTATTTCAGCTGAGGCTGGGGGGGCAGCGAGAGGATGAGGCAGGAGCCCGAAGAGGAGGCTGAGCCCAGCCCAGGCCACCCCGGGGGCAGAGCTCACTGGTCTGGGGACCAGCGGGGGTCCAGGGGGGCACAGAAACCCCTGACATCCCCTCCGAGCACACCTGACCCCCGAGCAGAGCTGCCCAGGGCAACGGCTTCCCAATAACTGGGTCCCCTCTGCGCCCACCTCCACCCCGTGCCTGCAGACCCCCGGGATGCTCACTGCTCCTGCACAGGGGGGCACCCCTGCCTGTGTGGGTCACCCTTCCCTCCAGCAGAGCACAAAGTCTTCTCCTGCACCAGCACAGGGATTAGGCAACCCCAAAAGTGTGTGCTGCAGTCCCGACACACAGGAAGGGGGAATGTCCCTGGTGGCACCACAGGAGGACAAGGTCCCCTGTCCTGTCCCCACTGAGCAGGGGGATCACCAGTGGAGGACTTGCTTTGACCAGTGTCTCTGAGCCCAGCAATGGGAGCTGGAAAGCCCTCCCGCCTGGCCCTTCCACCTCCTGCAGGAGGGATGTGCAGGCTCCAGCCAACACAGGGGACTACGTAGGGTGGGGGCAACTCCAGCCTCTGCTTTGACCCTGGAGTGGACTTCAAGGAGTCCCATCCCTCCTCCCATCCATCACTCCCACCAGCCAGACTCAGACTCACCCCAGCACCTCCTGTCTCAAGTTGACTCCGCAGACCCGTGAGTGAGGTGGGGACACAGTCAGCACTCTCCAGGGACAAACTGCAGCACCTAAATCCACTCCACTTCTCACCCCAGGCGCCCTAGACCACCCTCCCAGCAGGAGACATGTGGGGCTGATGGGCAAAGAGCCATGGTGGGACCACCTGCTCCTGGTAGTGAAGGCTGCTGGGGCTTCCATGAAGTTGGCCTGAAATGGGACTTTGCATTTTTCACATACACAATCTTTAAGAACCAGCCAGGCCAGAGGAGGCCAAATCTTAAAATCCAGGAGCCCAAGGCCAGGGCTGGGCTCAGACAAACCTCCCCACCCCATGGGGCTGCCAAACCCCCACCCTGTGCGGTGGAAAGGGCTGAGGGAGAGAGGAGACTCTTTCATACCTCCTGTGCTGCAGGTTGGGGGGGAAGGAGCCCGGGTTGGAGCAGGGGGGCTGCTGTGTCCCCCCAGGCTGTGCTACACCCCAGTGCAGTAGATCCACCCTTAGAATGCAACCCATGAGCAGGTCCAGCACACAGACTGCTTTCTAATGAGCTTTAATAGTGAGTGAGGAGAAAGGAGGCCGCGCCGTGGCCCTGGGCTGCCGTGGGGCCCACGCTGTGCACCGAGCTCCCTCTGCCGCCGGCCCGGAGCCCTTCCCCACGGAGCTCTTCCAGCAAACGAAGCCCCTTCCCCACGGAGCTCTTCCAGCAAACGAAGCCCCTTCCCCACGGAGCTCTTCCAGCAAACAAAGCCCACCCTGCTGGGACGCAGAGTTGGGCATCGAGAGACACCTCACGGTGCTCCAGGACCACTACCCTCCTCCACAGGGTTTATGGGTGGCAGCATGAAAGGACAGGAGGTGCAGGCAGCCTACAGCCATCTCCACCCCAGCCCTGTGCCCACCCTTATTGAATTGTGGAACGCTCAGGCACAGAGGGTTGTTCTTCAAGGGATGCCAAGCACCCCCAGGAACACAGAGTGCCACCAGCACCCCATGGCATGGAGAAGTGAGGGGAAAGACAACAGCTGGGATGAGACTCATCCCCTTCCTTCCTTCCAAAACTGAAACCAGAACAGCCCCTCCAACACCCACCAGGCCTGTGTGTGCAGAACTGGCCTCCAGCGTGGCCCCAGCTGGCTGAGACAAGGAACCAGGCTGGTGTCCCCAAAGCACCCCTCCTCCTCCTTGTCCCTCACAGGGCCAGGTGGCAGAGGCGCATGGGTTCTATGTTGGCCCTCCCATCGCTGAAGCAGGTGCTGAAGAAGGGGCAGTATCTCTCTGCCGAGACCTGGTGGAAGGTGAAGAGGTGGGACATGTCCCCAGCATCGAAGAAGGTGACGGTGCCCTCCTGGCAGTCCAGGAAGACCCCCACTTTCCGGGGGGGCCGGCGGGGAGTCAGGCGCACCCAGGGGGTGGCAGTGGCCCAGTACTCCGTCCTGTTCCTCAGGCGAAGTGTCCAGTAGCCGTTCTCTGGGCACAACTTCACCTTCGCTGCCCGGTCCACAGCTTCAGAGGCCACCCCCAGGTCCCACTTGGTTTTGCTGCCCACCCAGACCTCCCAGTAGTGCCGGCCGCTGTCGAAGGTCTGTGAGCTCAGGACATTGACGCACTGACGGAAGCGCCGGGGGCTGCTGGGGACAGGCTGTGCTCGACTCCTCTCCGTCACTGCTGTCAGGTCTCTGGAGAAGACCAGGTTGGGGTGGGCTGACTCGGGGTCGAAGGTGAGCGGGGCAGGAGCTGTGGGGACATTGAACATGGCATTTGACCAGCTGCACGTCCCCTCTGCAGAGCATCCCTGGCCCCACCACCATCCAGCACATCCATCCCCATCACCAACGCGCTCACCGGGGCAGATGGAGCGCAGCATCTGTCTCCAGAAGATGTACTGCAAGGGGCCGCTGCGGCTGTCCCTGTAGTGCTCCAGGTCGAAGGCGGGCTGGGTCTCAACACGCACCGAGGGCCTGGGGCAGAGAGAGAGAGGCCGTCAGCCCCTCTGCCAGGCCATCAGCAAGGCACAGGGGAAGAGCGTGGTCAGGACTGCAGCGTGCTCAGATTTGGTAAAGATGGGACATCATCGAATCATCTAGGTTGGAAAAGACCGTTGGGATCATCGAGTCCAACCCTACTACCCTACTCTACAAAGTTCTCCCCTACACCATATCCCCCAACACCGCATCTAAACAACTCTTAAACTCATCCAAGGATGGTGCCTCAACCACCTCCCTGGGCAGCCTATTCCACTGTCTGACCACTCTTTCTGTGAAGAATTTCTTCCTAATGTCCAGTCTAAACCTACCCTGTTGCAGCTTGAATCCATTCCCTCTTGTTCTATCGCTAATTACCTGTGAGAAGAGACCAGCGACAACCCCTCTACAATGTCCTTTCAAGTAGTTGTAGAGAGTGATGAGGTCACTCCTCAGTCTCCTCTTCCTCAAACTAAACAGTCCCAGCTCCCTCAATTGTTCTTTGTACGACATAAACCTCCCTGGCAGCTGCTTGCTCCCCCTGATGTGGTGTGACCCCCACAAAGTGGCTCAGGGCAGAGGGACCCCAGCAGATCCGGCAGCTCCACTCACGGAGCAGTGACTCATGGCAGACCACCACCTGTGGCAGTTCTGGCCCTCAGCTGCTCACAGTCTCAGACAGACCTGCACCTTGGGGATACTTTTGCAGCCCCGTGAGCTCTAAGAAGCCAAGAAAGGGCCGGGAGAAGCCAAAGCACCCAAAGTCTGTGGCACCAGCCTTGTTCCTGCTGGCAGCACGCACGGCTCCTGTACCCATTCCAAACCAGCACATCTCCACCACCCTCTCCTCCAGCCTGGCTGTCTCGACAGGCGTGCTCCCTGGGGAGAGCATCCAACACGTGCTGGGGACCAGCCCCCCACCACAGCACAGCACCAGCAGCTCGCCGAGCAATTTGTGATCCTTTTAAAACTTGAGATAAGATCCCTCCCCCATGTGGTGCCCACCAGGGACAGAGATAAGCTCCTGAAGAGGGAATTGGCTTCTTTCATGCCAGACACGTACCTGATATCCAGGCTCTCCACCTGCAGTGAGGAAGAGAGAGAATTAGCAGTCGCTGGCTGTAATTCATGCAGCTGCACAAAATAAGCTCCCTGTCCTGCCTCCTGCTGTCAGGAAGCACAGAGAGGAGGAAACCAACCTGCCAGGACCCCGACCCTGAGGGGAAACTGCCTGGGCACTGTGGCCAAGGCAATTTTCACAGAAAGGGAGGAAGGCTTCTGAGAGCCACCACATTGGAAAGATCCCCATATCCCTTGTGGCTAAAGCCTCTAGGCTCCAAGGGAATGGGTAGGTAATCCAGAGGGATGGCAGAGAGAGTGACCTCCAGGCACAGTCTGAAGCTGTCATTTAAGGACTCTCCCCATCCCAAATTCAGATCCTGGAACAGCCCTCAAAACTCCTGCCAGGGTCAGCCAAGCATGCTCACCTCCAGCAAGGACACCTCTTCCACCTTGCCCAGGGTCTGCTCTATGTGCTCTATGTCCCTCTGCAGCACCGACACCCCCTCCTCCAGCCGGTGGACGTCCCCGTGCAGACGGGCCAGGGACCGCTCCTCCTCTTGGCCCAGCTCCGCCAGCACAGCTCTCTCCTCTTCCTCCAGGATCTGATGCAGCCGGGCAAACTCTGCACGGATCTTGAAGTTCAGCTCCCCGGACACCTTCTGAGCAGAGGGGAAAAGGGAGAAGATGAGTCTGACAGCTAAAACACACAAGCAGGGGCACAGGATGGCTGGGCCCATTACTCTGCTTACAGAGTCCTGGGAATAAGAGAGCTTTGGACATACCCATGAGTTTTTCCCTGGAGAACACGACACAAGGATGACTTTCAAGATAGCAGAGCCAAAGGAGAAGGAAGGAAAAAAAAGCTCTACCAACAGCTTGGTCACCTTAACTAAAAATCCTTGCACACAGCCACAGTGGGAGCCCACAGCCCTCTCCCACAACACCAGGAATTTCCTTGTGTGCCAGACTGGAGCTCTTTGGAGCTGCAGGCTCAGCTGTTCAGGTTAGTCAGGATTTACTTCACGTCGTGCCAGAGCCTGGGCAGGGCCACCTGACACCGGTAACGTGCTCTTTTTGTCTGATGCCTCCGTCTCTCAGGGCTCCTGTTTGTATGGGAGAGACGGGGGAGCTGCACAAACTAATCTCTGAAGTTAAGGCTGATAAAATCCCATTCGGCTCTTTTCAGATGTTACTTTTTCCCCAGTTGTTTAGTCGGCCAGCCAGCCTCGTGGTGCTCTCACTGCTTTCCCTCCTGGTTACAGGAGACAATGACTTATTTTCCCAATCTTTAAGCTTTTTATCTCTGAGTGCAACCTTAGCCCTTGTTATTTTCTTGAGGAGCTCTTCCTGAAACACACATCCCTTTCTACCAGCAGGAAACCCATCTCCCCCAGAGCACATCTGCTGCCCCACCAGCCGGGCCAGGCCCCCAGCCCCTACTTTGCTCGAGCAGGTGCTTGTGCTGACACCCCAGAACCGCAGAGGATGTGCGTGGCCACCCCTCTCCCTGTTCAGATCAGCAACTTGCTCCTTCACTCTCGAAACACTTAGTCAGCTCTTCCACTGCAACAGGACATCAGCCCGTGTGCTGATTTGATAACACTTCTTCATTCATCTCAAAGGTCTATACCAAATCTAGCAGTGGGATCAGAGACTCCAGTCAGAAGACAGTCTCCCATCAGTTTGATCTCACCTCTAAACTACCTCCGTTTTCCTTACACGCTCCTTCTTTGCCTTTCAATACTTTTATGTCTCTCAATAAGGAAGCACGGTCAGCCTATGGCTGCTCTTGCTTCATTGATCAGTGACAAGCAGGCAGCCTGGTGGCACTTGAGCCTGGAGACAGCACTCGGGCTCCCCACATCGTCTCAGAGCTTCACAGGGAACCCAGACCTGGTCCTGGTGACACGGCCACCACTCTCTGCAGCACCAGCACCGCTGCTGACCCAGCTCCTTCAGCTTTGCTCTCACCCCTTCCGACACACAAGAGGATTTTAGAGCTTCCAAGAATTAACCCTCTCCCAAAGTGGCAGCGCTGCCAGGGCCAGAACAGGCTGCTCAGCCAACAGCTCTCAGCGCTCTGCTGCACCAACACACCTTGTAAACGCTGCAAGAACAACTGCTTAATGCCTCTTCCCAAAGCCTCCACCGAATATTGAGTAGTGACGGGCTCTGGCCTAACCGAGGGGGAGTTTGTTTAGAGTCCTACATAGTTATTCATCTAGATTTGTTCAGGAAGCTGAGCTCAACCTCAGCTGAAGTGATAAACAGATATTCGATCAACATGAACCCAGAGGCTGTATAAAAGCAGCTATCACAGAGCACTACCGTTAGGCCACAGATATCTTCCTGTGTTGCACGCTTCCTCCGCAAGAAGTTCTCCATCTCCTTCTGACGAGCTTCCAAAGCCTCTTCCAGGTGCTTCTGCAGGAACGAGGAAAAGAAGGTGAGGAGACCATTTCAGGGCTCTGCTGTGATTCAGGAGCAATCCCAACTCCCAAGGGCAGTGTTAGAGGGAGGCTGCAGCAGAATTTCTTATCAGGGCAGTAAGGAGAAGAAAGCACCTGATGCACAGGCTTGAAAACTGTGTGTGTGTGTGTATATCATAGAATCATAGAATCATCTAGGTTGGAAAAGACCCTTGGGATCATTGAGTCCAACCATCTACCCTATCCTACAAAGTTCTCCCTTACACCATATCCCCCAACACCACATCTAAATGACTCTTGAACACATCCAAGGATGGTGACTCAACCACCTCCCTGGGCAGCCTATTCCACTGTCTGACCACTCTTTCTGTGAAAAATTTCTTCCTAATGTCCAGTCTAAACCTGGACATTCGAGCAAAGAAATTCTTCATAGAAATAATGAAACAAATTTGTTTTTAAGATTAGGAGCTCCAGCCTGGGACATCTGTTTGCAGAAGGTTTAACCCCTGTGTGCTGTGTGACTTGTGCAGGGACTGACCCCTCAAGCAGCCCTCACCCCTGGGCTCTGTGGTCACAACACGAGAAACAACCAGGTGGTGATGGCAGTCAGCCACGGCAGCGAGGGAAAGAAATACAAGAAAAGAAAGCATCCAAAAGACAGCTGGGAGGAAAGAGGGGGAATGAATGAGGAAGCGACACAGATGTCACTGCACCGGGGTGAGGTGAGACACACACAGGGCTCCCTGGTGGGGCAACCGGCCATGGGAGGAGGGGGTGGTGGGCTGGCACTGGCTGCACAGGGGTCTCACATGGCTCTCAGACCCTTCTACCCTGGCCGAGCAGAAGCCACTCACCTGCATCTTGTGCCGTTGCTCTGCGGAGCCGCAGCGCCGCACCTTCTCCACCAGCCCCGACAGCAGGTAGTGCGTGCGGAAAGCCCTGCTGGGGAACTCTCGGCGGCACTGGGGGCAGGTGGGGACGTGGGCACAGCTCTCCCAGTAGCCCTGGATGCAGGCCTTGCAGAAGTGGTGCATGCAGTCCAGCATGACGGGCTCCACGAAGAGGTCGCAGCAGATGACACAGGTCAGCTCCTCCCGCAGGCTCCGGTCCTGGCTCCTGTCGGCCATCCCTGCCGGCACGCAGGTCCCAAGCCGACCTTCCTGCCACCACAGAATGATATGGGGTTGGAAGGGACCTCTGGAGATCATCTAGTCCAACCCTCCTGCCAGAGCAGGTCCTCCTAGAGCAGGTTTTGGAACCCTAGGTGGGTTTGGAATGTCTCCAGAGAAGGAGACTCCACCACCTCCCTGGGCAGCCTGTTTCAGGGCTCTGCCACCCTCACAGGAAAGAAGTTCCTCCTCATGTTCAGGTGGAACTTCATGTGTTCGAGTTTGTGCCCATTCCCTCTTGTCCTGTCCCTGGGCACCACTGAAAAAAGACCAGCCCCATCCTCCTGACACCCCCCCCCTTCCAGTATTTACAGGCGTTGCTCAGATCCCCCCTCACCCTTCTCTTCTCCAC